GGTCCACGCGCACGCCGCGCACGCGCACGCTCGTCGCGCCGTCCCCTCTCCCGCGCATCCCGCTAGGAGCCCTTTGGAGCCGGGTGCTGTTCCCGGCGTCGCGTCCACTCCCGCCGCCGCCCATCGGGCTCGGAGCAGGGCCAGGGCGCTGTTCCGGCCCTGCACCGCCTCCCGCCACACTGCGGACCCCCTTCGCCCCTCCACTTCCTGCACGGTCCCTTCGGCTTCCCTCTCCTTGGTAGGGCGAGGGCCGGGGGTGAGGTTCAAGCCCTACACGAGTGCGGGCACGTAGGTTCATGCCCGCATCCTGGAGCAGGACGGACCCAGAGGAGGGAGACCTTGAACTCCACCCTGACTGTCCAGTAACCCTTAGTGCGACTAGGGCAGGTCTGACTGGGGGGACTCCGCTGCCTGGGGTTTCCAGATGGTCTCTTTGTTCTTTGTTGCCATCTTAGTGCTTGAACCCGTGAGCTTTCTCTGTGCGCAAGGCCAGCGCTCTACTCCTTGGGCCACAGCTCCACTTCCAGCTTTTTTTGGTGGTTAACTGGAAATACAAGTCTCACGGACTTCCCTGCCCAGACTGGCTTCCACACCGAGATCCTCAGAGCTCAGGGTCGCTAGGATTACAGGCGTGAGACACAGCAACCTAGCACTCTTTAAGTGGTTTTAACAGGTAAGAACCAACTGCTCTCTGTAGACCAGGTACAAGCTCCACCTCCATCTCTTGAAATCTTGAACAGGACAGGAAATCGAGAGCCTTGATTTCTAGTGTGCAATAGTGACACTTCACTGGGTGGCTGAGCTTGAGGGGGATCATGTGTGCACATCCTCAGCAGTGCCTGCCAGGAACACACAAAACATTCTCCAAAGCTCATTCGTGTAACTCCTGCCCTATCCTCCCAACACGAAAAGTTTAATAATAGGGGCTCTGATTCCAAACCCTGCAGTGTAATTAGCTGGGAGTTCACCCAACATAGGACTGCAGGGACTCTTCTCACATCTTCAGTTTCCATTCCCTGTCCAAACCTCTCTTAAAACCCAAAAGGTTGGCAGAAAAACAATAGTAGGGAACATCCCCTACTAGGTTTTGTGTTTTTGTTTTTAGAAAAAAAAAGGACTTCTCTTGAGATGTGTAAATGATCAATTTTATTTGGTAGCTTTTTTTTTTCCAGATACAAATGACACAAACTCAAAACAAAAAAAGCATACATGATCACATAATTCAAAAGTCTCGGGGTGATGACTCAACTTCAGGCAGTTTTGATCTAGTAGCTAAAACCAAACTCAAACTTTCACATCTATCTCAGGTCTTGATTCTCATATAGTCCTTAGCTCACATCTACCCAAGAAAGCAAGGGTTATTTCTTGTTACAACCTGAGCACTTCTTGTCCAAAATGGGGCCAGAAGTGTCTCAGCTCCCCAATTTTTTTCCTGCATTTTGAAATGTTTGCACACACATGAGATATGTTACAGAGGAAACCCAGGTCTAAATGTGAAATTGACTTACACTTCATATACCTTAAACAGCCTGAAGGTATTTACTAGTTTTGTGCATGCAACACAGTTCTGTGGAATGTCCCATACAGCATCATGTCACAGTTTTGGGTTTGGGAACATTTTGGATTTGGGAACATACTGGATTCTTTAGATTAAGGATTTTTACCCTGAAATTTTAGCCTGAGTCCGAGTTGATTTTTACTGGTCACACTTGAGTTAATACTCTTGCCTGAGCCAGATTGGCTAAGCCTGGCCATATAAGAAGGGGTTGGGTCATCCTGTCCAGAAGGACATGGATGAGGAGGATGTGGACGGCTGCCCAGGTGCAGCCATCCATAAACCTGAAACCTATATTTTTCCCATGAAACCAGGTGAGTGGGCTTCTGTTTCTTGCCACCAAGATGTTTCAACTTCTATCAATGGTTAGCACAGTTCCCATAGCCAGCCGAAGAGGCTCAGTGCACCTGACAGGCAAAAAAGTGTATCTGCTCCTTTGGGTAACTCTCTATTCATAATAAATGAACACACTGGCTATTAAGATTTAGATACTATAAGCCAGTGCCAGTGGTGCACACCTGTAATTCTAGATACTCAGGAGGCTAAGATTTGAAGATCACAGTTCAAAGCTAGCCAGGGCAGTTCTCATGTTGATCTACTTCCAAAGCCCAAACAGCTCTGAAACACAACTCATCTACAACCTATCTGGCAAAAAAGATGAACATGAATTGATGAGACCACTTATCTTTATCCCTTTTCTTCTGGATATTTGCTGCAGAAATATTATTCTCATCAGTTTCTGAAAATTAGAAACCTTTTAATTTGGCAAGCCCCAATGTCATCTAGCCCCAATGTTTCAGAGACTGTAGACTTGAATCTTTATGGGAATGAGAATAGGATTTTCCTTTCTTTAATCCCCTCCACATCCCTTTACTTCTGTCCCCTTCCCTTCTATTTTCTTCCCTTCTCTCCTTTATTTTATCTTGGGTAGCCCACGTTACCCCTGAATTCATGATTATCCTGCCTGTGCTTCTTCAGTGTTAGAATTACAGGCTTTGACAACCATACCAGGATTGAGGATGAGAATTTAAAACTGGCTGGTGTGGGCTGGGAATGTGGTTTAGTGGTAGAGTGTTTGCCTGGCATGCATAAAGCCCTGGGTTTGATTCCTCAGTACCACATAAACAGAAAAAGCTGGAAATGGCCTGTGGCTCAAGTGGTAGAGTGCTAGGCTTGAACAAAATAAGCCTGCGGACAGTGCTCAGGCTCTGAGTTCAAGCCCCAGGACAGGAAAAAATTTTTTAAAAGATTAAAAGAAACAAAAACAAAAAAAAATCCTGGCTAGTGATATGTGCGGCACGTACCTGCCATCAAATGGGATCTTTGGCAGCCAGACACCAAACTCACCCACCATCTCTGTGTCTCTTTCGTTGAGACTTTCTAAAGAGGCTTTAGAATTTATGCTCAGCATTAACAGTATAAAAATATCCCGAAGTACTAGCCTGGTTAACAACAGCCAAGGAGAAATTCCAGATGAAAGGCACACGACAGGACTTTCAAACGACAGCACTCTTCATCAAGCAGAAGTGCAAGAGCAGGTTCCGTCGGGATATTAATTATGTATCACTGATTGTGGGAAAAAAAGTTATTCTCATAATTAAAATAAAAACTATTAAAGGAAAATCTCAAGAAAATAAAAATGACAGCTGAATGAAAGAAGGTCTGTTTCTTTCACATTCAAATCAGTGTTTATGACATAGCAGTGCATATGGCCTGGCGTTTTGTGCTCTCTGCATCCTCCGCTTCCCCTTCAAGGGGTCGCTTTCGACTAGTGGAAGGCTAGGAATAAAAGAAAAGGGAGAAATAGTCAAAAGGAAATCTATGCAAGTTCTCCAAGATGCTTCCAGGAAGTTGAGGCCATTTCATGTGAAATGCCTAGGACCAAGAATTACTAGTCGTCATGACAACTGAATCCTCCCTCTATCCCTCTGGACCAGACATGTTTATCTGACATCTCTCTCCCTTGTGGTTTCTAACCACATAATGATGGACAGTTGGCTATAATTTTCTGACAGTGTGAAAGCAATACCCAGATAATAGAAACCAGCTAAGAATGTGCATCTTTTAGTTGGGCACCAATGGCTCCCTCTTGTGAGATAGCTGGGATTATGGTTCAAAGCCACCTAAGCTGAAGAAAGTCCTCAAGATGCCTCCAAGCTGGGCACTGATAGTTCACACCTGCAATCCCAGCTACTCAAGCCGCTGAGATCTGAGGATTAAGGCTCAAAGCCAGCCAAGGCTAGAAAATCTATAAGACTCTTATTTCCAATTAACCAGCAAAATGCTGGAAGTAGCTATATGGCTCAAGTGGTAAAGTGCCAACTTTGAGCAAAAAGGCTAAGCAAGTGTATGAGGCCCTGAGTTCAACCCCAGTACAGGCACATACACACACACATTCACACACAAAGAAACCAGGTGTTGGTGGCCCACACCTGTAATCCTAGCTACTCAGGAGGCTGAGATCTGAGGATTTCAGTTCAAAGCTATCCTGGACAGGAAAGTCTGTGAGACTCTTATCTCCAATTAATCACCAAAAAAGCAGAAGTAGTGTTGTGGCTTATGTCACTCAGCACTAATCTTGAGCAAAAAAGCTAAAGGACAGTGCCCAGGCTCTGAGTTCAAGTCCTAGGACTAGCACAGAAGAAGAGGGAAGAGGGCTGGGAAGGTGGCTCAGTGGTAGAGCGCTTGCCTTGCGTGCATGAGGCCCTGGGTTCGATTCCTCAGCATCACATAAGCAAAAATAAAAAAAAAGCTGGAAGTGGTGCTGTGGCTCAAGTGGTAGAGCGCTAGCCTTGAGCTGAAGAGCTGAGGGACAGCGCCAAGGCCAGAGTTCAGGCCCCATGACCAGACCCAAAAAAACAAAAAAAAGAAGAGGGAAGAGGAGGAAGAAGAAGAGGAGAAGGGAGGAAGGAGGAGGAAGGAACAGGAGGAAGAAGGAGGAGGAGGAGAACAAAGCCAGGTACCAGTGGCTCACGCCTGTAATCCTAGCTAATAGGATCTAGTTCAATAATCATCTTTCAAAGCCAGCCTGAAGGGGAAAGTCCATGAGACTCTTACCTCCAATTAACCACCAGAAAACCAGAAGTGGTGCTGTGACTCAAATGGTAGAGCCCTAGCCTTGAGCTGAAGAGCTCAGGGACAGTACCCAGGCCCAGAGGTCAAGCCCAAAACCAACAAAAAAGAGACAGACAGAGACAGAGACAAAGACAGAGGAAAAAAGAAAGAAATTTCACAAACAAAAATTGAGGCTGGGAAGGTGGTTCAGAATGTGGTAGAGTGCTTTGCCTTGCATATATGAAGCCCTGGGTTCGATTCCTCAGCACCACATAAATAGAAAAAAGCCAGAAGTGGTGCTGTGGCTCAAGTGGTAGAGCATTAACCTTGAGATGAAGAGCTCAGGGACAGCTCCCAGGCCCAGAGTTCAGGCCCCATGACCGACAAAAAAATTAATAAATTCCCATGTTATCATCAGTTGTGTTTAAAATCATTGTGTGATCTCCTAAGTGCTTTCTTGTCAATAACTGAGTGAATAGTCACCCCTCAAAAACAGCACATGGTTCCCCAAAAGCAAGGTAAAAAAAATGAACATGCTGATTAAAGTGATAATGTGAAATCTGCTATTTGTTAAGCTGGGTGGCATTATGTGAAAAATGCATCAAGCATCTACAGTACAGAACGAAGCTCTATGAATCTTAAGCATGCACATTTCTTTCCTCAGTGACAGTCCAGGGAGCCATAGACCCAAGAACATCAAGGGTCTGTTGCATCAGGATGCAACCTTATCCTAACCTAACCTGCAAAGCATCTGTGTAGTTAATCAACACAGACAGACAGAAAGACAGACAGACACACACACACATACACACACACATATATCAAGGAAAGAGAGAGAGAACTCAGAGCCCCACATCATGTTGTTGTTGTTTTTTTTTGTCAAGACAGTGACACCTGAGGATCATAGTTTGAAGCCAGCCAGGGCAGGAAAGTCCATCAGACTTATTTCCAATTAATCACCAAAAAAAGCCAGAAGGGGGTGTGTGGCTCAAAGTGGCTAGTCTTGAGCAAACAGAGCCCAGGGACAACTCTCAGATCCCATGTTCAACCCCCAGGACCAGGGGGAAAAAAAAAGAAAGTAACTAAAGCAAAAAAGGTTGTGAGCATGTCTCAAGTGCTAGATAACTTGCCTAGCAAGCAAGGCATCTTGAGACAAACGTCAATTCCACAAAATAAAAAACCATAAAAAAAAAAGGAAGAAAGAAAAAAGAAAGACAGAAAGAAAGAAAGAGAGAGAGAAAGAAAGAAAGAAAGGAAGGAAGAAAGCAAGCAAGCAAGCAAGCAATGGTTACTCGAGAGAACCATTGTCAGCTGGGCACTGGTGGTTCATATCTATAATCCTAGCTACTCAGAAGGCTGAGATCTGAGGATCATAGTTTGAAGCCAGCCCAGGCAGGAAAGGCTATGAAATTCTTTTCTCCAGTGACTACCAAAAAAGCCAGAAGAGAGCTTTAGCTCAAGTGGTAGACTACTAGCCTTGAGTGTAAAAGCTCAGGGACAGTACCCAGAGCCTGAGGTCAAGCCCCAAGAATAGCACAAAAGAGGGGGAGAGGGAAGACAGGGGAGAGAGTGAGAGAGAGGGAGAGAGAAAGAAAGAGAGAGAGAGAGAACCATTGTAGCCTTCAGGCTTCCTTATCAACTGTTTAAACTTATTCTATACAATGGCCGTGAGACCAGTACCTCAATTAGGACTTGGGATATAGCCATCAATTTATCTTCCTCAGCCAGTAGGTCCTGAAACTTTTTCTTCATGTCCTCATCCTGTGAAGAAATTTAAAACATCAATAGGGTATGCCCGCTTGCTTAAGTATGAGGAGGAAGTAACCATGGCTGCTCACTTCTGCCTCCTCAAAGCAGTGTCAGGAGTGGTCAGTGCTGCTCACACCTGCTGAATCAAACCCTTAGCTTTCAGTGGGGCAGAGAACCACAAACTCTAGCGGTATAGAATTTAGAGCCAGGCACTGGTGGCTCATGCTTGTAATCCTAGCTACTCAGAAGGCTGAGATCTGAGTATCACAGTTTGAAACCAGCCTGGGCAAAAAAGTCCTTGTGAGATGTGAGATGCTTATCTCCAATTAACCACTCAAAAACTGGAAGTGGTGCTGTAGCTCAAGTGGTAGAGCACTATCCTTGAGGACAAAGAGCTCAGGAACAGCATCCAAGCCCTGAGTTCAAGCCCCACAACTGACAAAAAAAGAGGAAGAAGCCGGGTGCCTGTAATCCTAGCTACTTAGGAGGCTGAGATCTGAGGATCGCAGTTCAAAGAGCCTGGGCAAGAAAGTCCGTGAAACTCTTATCTTCAATAAACCACCAGAAAACCGGAAGTGGCGCTGTGGCTCAAGTGGTAGAGCACTAGCCTTGAGCTAAAGAGCTGAGGGACAGCGCTCAGGCCCAGAGTTCAAGCCCCACGACAGACAAAAAAAAAAAACAAAAGAGGAAGAATCAGCCTCCCAGATGCTGACAGCCAAGAGGCAAGAGTATGAGGCACAATAGCAGTGGTAGTGTGAGTCCTTCCAGAAGCTCCCCAGTGAGTCATTCAATCAGCCAACCCTAAGAAAATTCCCCATCAGGTGCTGCACCTATTGCCAGAAGGCTTCAAAGGCACAAGAAAGGGTGACATTGATCAAGGCATGGCATAACAGGTGTTTCATTCTTCAGGAAGACAGGTGGGAAAGGAATAGGGTGGGCAAAGAGAACTCCTGCCTCGATATATGTGAATGGATCCTCCCCCCGAATACTCAGTGATTCAGGGTTCAAGGAAGTACATTTGGAAACTCCAAAAGGTGACCTGGTGCAGTTCTCCTCATCTTCGGAAACAAAGTATAACTAGGAATGTGAGTTATGGGGTAACCCCAGACCCAGCCTAGCTACATACAATATCCCTCAATGGCCAGCAAAAAAGAAAAATCCAGTTTAGTAAAAATAAGACAGAAGGAGGAAACAAGGGATATTCTCAAAGCGAGATATTGTTCATGACAAAAAGGAGACTGGTACCAAATCTACAAAACCGCTAGGTTTCTTTTTTTGGGGGGGTCCAGTCCTGGGGCCTGAACTCTGGGCCTGGGCACTGTCCCTCAGCTCTTCAGCTCAAGGCTAGCACTCTACCACTTGAGCCACAGCGCCACTTCCAGCTTTTTTCTTTTTGCTTATGTGGTGCTGAGGAATTAAACCCAGGGCCTCATGCATGCAAGGCAAGCACTCTACCACTGAGCCAACTTCTCATCCCCAAATAGCAGCTTCTATGGTTAGTAGCTAACTGGGAGCTTTCCTTTTGTTATTTTTTTGTCGGTTGTGGGGCTTGAACTCTGGGCCTGAGCACTGTCCCTCCCGTCTTGAGCTCAAGGCTAGAGCTCCACCACTTGAGCCAGGCAGGCAGGCAGGCAGAGAAAGAGAAAGAGAAAGAGTGTGTGTGTGAGAAAGAGAGAAGAAGAGAGGGAGAGAGAGAGGGAGAGAGGAAGAGAGGGAGAAAGAGAGGGAGGGGAGAGAGGGAAGGGAGGAAGGGAAGGAAGAAATGAAGGGAGGGAAGGAAGGAAGGGAAGAGAGGGCACAAAGAAAGAAAGCTATAGGAAACAAACCTTTAGCCCCTTGTTACCTAAATCCTACTTCCCAGTAGAGATGATCACCAGGCCCATTAGGCAGGACCCAGACTCATCAAAGCCAGGTGACAGAAATGGGTTAGGAGCCCAGGTCTGTGGAACACACTAGACTGAAGTCATTGTGAGGGGAGGGCTGGACAGCTCCATCTGGCTGACAACTGTCAGAGGCTAGAAAACAGCCTGGCCCACTTGAGCAAAACACTGTGCAGACTCCACAGGCCAATGGCTTGAGCCACTAAAAAAAGAAATCTACAAATTTCCCACAGGTCAATGTGCCCTTACACTTCCCTTATTTGGGGTGGGGGTGGAGGGGTAGGACTACATTGCTGTCTAGCACTGGACACTGAATTTGTACATATGTTACATTTGGGGATCCTCTGGCAGAGAAAATTCTCATGAGGTTTCTCACTACTTACCTTAGGTGTTTTGTTTTGTCTTGTTTTCTAGTTTAGAGGATTTACTCTTTAGAGGCCCTCTAGTCATTGAAATTAAAAAAGAAGTGACACACAAGAATGCACAGCTCAGGAGTTGGAGGCCAGCCTACCTAACATGGAACCTGGCAAAGTCAGGAAGAAGTTGCCAAGAAACTAGAAGAAGCCAAGCAGGGAGGCCAGCCCCTCAGCTCTCAGCTAGCCAGCTTCTCATGTTGTCATGGTTTAGCAGGTCCATCAAGTTCTAAGGGAGCTGCGGAAATAATAGCATTAAAAGCAGTGACTTTGTTCTTAGTTTCTACTTGTTTTTAGAGTGAAACTCCTCTAAGCTAAGTGACAGCAGGGCATATGTATATGTGTATACATGCATACAAATTAAGGAACCCAGGGGCTGGGAAGGTGGCTCAGTGGTAGAGTGCTTGCCTTGCATGCATGAGGCCCTGGGTTCAATTCCTCAGCACCACATAAACAGAAAAAGCCAGAAGTAGCACTGTGGCTCAAGTGGCTAGCCTTGAGCTGAAGGGCTCAAGAGTTCAAGCCCCACAACCAACCAAAAAAAAAAAAAATTAAGGAATCCAGACTTAATACTAGTTTCATTACACTGAATCACTTTACACTGCTCCCATATTAGCAATATGGGAGTAATAAATACTTACATGATTTAGTTTTTTCAAAATTTCTATTTCAGTTTCAACATTGAGAGTTGAGTCCTATGATAAACAGAATACTGGGATTTATTAATAGCAACAAGAATATGTAAGAGTAATAGTAATAATATCAAGTATTTTTTTAAGTTTACAGATAAACTTAGTTGAGAAAAGTCTAAGTTCCAAATCAGGTTCTAGTCAAAAAAAACCAGAGGTTGATGAATAACTTACTGAAATCACTTTGTGGAAATAGAGGTGTGACTCAAGTGATAGAGTGCCAGCCTTGAGCAAAACATGAAGAGACAGTGCCAGGCTCTGAGTTCAAACCCCAGTACACACACACACACACACACACACACGCTCTGAGTTCAAACCCCAGTACACACACACACACACACACACACACACACACACACACACAC